TTGGAGTTTTGTGCCCAATTAGTGACACACCCTTAGCTACCCGATTCCACATCTAGTGGTCGATAATGATTGTGATTTTTTTGTATTTTTTTTTAATATAAATTGTGACTTCTTCGTATTAAAAATAAATGATTTTATTGTGTACATTTCCTTATTTTATTTACATATATCAAGAAAAAAAAGAAGTAAAACTGATTATAATGGTGCTTTTCTCTCTGTGAAAGAAAAAGAAAAAAGGTAAAACTTATACTCATGATGAATCAGTAAAATCATCATGCCTCTCTCTCTCTACCAGGTATCAACCAGTTGTCATCTACTCCTCAAACATTACTGAACCAGTTGGTTGCTGTGATATCTGTGAATTTGGTCATTGGTTATTACATATTCATGGCACTGAAAGAGCCTTCCAAACGAACCGACCTATCCTGCATTTGTATCTCAGACCAAGGCTACCGTTAATGAAACTGTTACAGCACAAAGTGTTAATTGTCAGACCGACGAAAAGGAAGATCAAGTAGCATGCCGTGTTCTCTCTGATTTGTTTTGTGCTTAAGTTTTGATTTGGTATGTGGAGCCATGATTCTCTTTCTACATGCCTGACCTTTTTAGCTACCTTTGTCTGAGCCCATGCTCTGCGGAGTCCATTAATACATGTAGGGCCAGGCAGGAAATTTAGGTCATTGAGCTTATGTTGACCTTTGCTAAATGATTGCATCTGATAAAGAAGATGATATTTGCTTTGAATCATGTATCTGCCTATAGACATACATGGTGGTTTTGTAAAGCGTACAGTTCGCATAACAGTTAATGTTAAAAAGTAAAGCCACACATTATAACCCCACCTGAAAGTGTAGTTTTGGCAACACAATCCCTTAGTCTGAAATCTATTTTTGCGTTTCATCATAAAATTTGAAGCTCCAAAACTAGTGCCGGTAGATATACATGCATTTGAAGATAAATGGTCTAGATGTGTGTAACAAGATACATACACTTGAAAATGAATGGTCCTGACGTGTGTAACAAGATACAGACACTTGAAAATGAATTGTCCAAATTTGAGTAACAATATGCACCAATTTCAGGACTGGACTTTTATGTTTCAAATATATAATTTTTAAAGTTGAGAATCAATGCAAGGGTTTTTCAACTGCAGAATCGCATTTTAGTGTGGTTTTTGACATTTTAGTGTGGTTTTGACATGTTTACTCTCTCAGTAAACATGGGCCTCATAGAAACTTACTTTTGTAATCTAATTTTCTTTTTAAAATAGAATGCATATACTGAGCTCATGTAGAAGTTACTTTTCATATTCAGGCAGAAAACTTGCATGGGTAAATCTTTTGAATCTAAAATTCTCGGAACATACGAAGAATCACTAGATGATCATTTTCAAAACAGAAAATTTGATTTTTAAATCTCTTAACACTTAGATCTCACCCTAAAACAATTGGACAGTCTCGGTTCAATATTGATATATTATTGAGAATAATATTGAGATATTATTCTTTTCTAGTGCATAGAGAGTGCCATCTGGAATTTTCCTTTTTTTGAGATTAGTCTATGATTAACGATGTCAATCTCCAAAATTCAGGATCCTAAAAATACTGTTAAATTAAAGTTTACCCGAGGGAGTAAATGTACATTTCTTTCCTTCAAGATATTAGATCTTTGGAGTTTAAAATATCTTTCTCCTTCTTTATGTGTTTTCCGTACGGAATGAAAAGCAAAAAAGTCTTCTACCCAAGGGAGTGAAAGTAAACTATGCTTACCAAGAGACACAAGTATATGAGCTTAAATGAAAAATACCCAAGGCTACTGTGTAACTTAAAAAGAAATATATATATAT